CAGCCCATAGACATCACATAACTGACCGAGATGTCCCACCTGTACTGGTTTTACTTAATTTTTATTAGTTTTTCTGGCCTTAAAATGTTATTTTGTAGTTTTATATAAAAATGACCTAACCAAGTAGTGAAAATGTAAAGCAGTTTGTGTTGTTCAATTTCAGTTCCTGCTGGTTTGAATTTTTCTCATATCTTATTTCATTGTGAAACTTAAAAATTACACAGTGATGAAATGGGAAACAAACTGCCTGCTTTTTATGTTTGCCTGTAATATTCATTTTCTCTTCCAGGCAAAACGGCTAACCACAAATGATCTAGCAGCAATCAAAGTCATCAAATTAGAGCCAGGTAGATATTACAGATTACTTATTCGTAATAAAATGTTCTGGAGTGAAATACAGATTGTTAGAAACTAAGTTGATGCCCAGAGATTTGGCCAGGAATGGTAATAAGCAAAAGTTTACTGCACTTTGTCAAGAAAGCCTCAAGTAGCTGTTCAGGTCTGAAAGCTCTGTTCGTGACTTTAGTTTTTTTATGCTGGGTCACAGTGTGAGTTCATGGATGCATTCTGATGGGAACAAAGTTTCAACTAGAATGTATTTTGCTTTGCATTTTATTAACCACAACGAACCATAATACTGACAGTTTCAATTCTTAGTGCTGGTTGCTATATTACACTTTTCTGCTCATTAGGCGATGACTTTGCCATCATCCAACAAGAAATCCTTATGATGAAGGATTGTCGGCACCCAAATATAATTGCTTACTATGGCAGCTACCTGCGCAGAGACAAATTATGGATTTGCATGGAATATTGTGGGGGCGGGTCCCTTCAAGATATTTACCACAGTAAGTGTCTGCATCATGTAATTTATAGATACATAAATTGAAGAACTATCAGTGTTCTCTTTCAAAACGTGCTTGAGCAGTTATTCTTAAACTTTAATGTGTGTGTGGAAGTTATGAATAGCACGTAAATGTGATTCAGTGGAACCTTGATATACCGTGCCTCATTATCTCGCGGGCTGTGATCATGTCCCCCAATATGATTACGTATGTTTTGTTAGATAAATGTCAGTTTCACATATAATGTGGGTAGCTTATAACACAGTTGTGCCGTGCAGTCTGGTAGAAGTTTACCGACGTGATGATGGACGCAGCAAGGACCTCTGAGACATCTACCAGACTACACGGCGCGACAACCCAGAAGACAGCCATCTTCAGACTCGCTGCCGTGAAAACCTTAAGTCCTACAGCGATGGTGAACGTTACACTGTGATGCTGGACACGGTGTTTACAGATGATTTGCTTTTGTTGCGTGTCTTGAACAGCCTCTTTTTTTAAGTTACAGGTCCACTGACTGAACTACAAATTGCTTATATGTGCAAGGAGACTTTACATGGGCTGGCCTATTTGCACAGCATGGGGAAGATGCATAGGGATATAAAAGTAAGTTGGAGTATGCATTCCATTACAAGTACTACACAGTTCATTATCGCAGTATTCCAGTCCTCGTATGTTTTCAGTTCATGTAATGGTCGGAGGTGGTATAGCTGCATCAGTAAGTAGTTTTAAGATGACACAACTGGAGAGTTAGGCTCCTAGGAGATACAGAGACTTTATCCTTGCTGTCAGGTCCAGACAGACTCTGGGTCTTACCTAGTCATCTGTCCAGTGGGTACTGGAGGCTCTTTCTTTGAGGAGCAGGGGGCAATGCAGCTGTTCACTCACTTCCATATAGTGTTGGGGTTTAAGTACGGTGGAGCTGCGCCCCCACATTCCATGTCGTTTGTTGTTTGGAGCTTTATAAGAAGGGATATGAGATTTGAGGTTCTCATGTTGGTGACGATGATGATGTTTTCTGGGTTGTGAAGCCATGGCAGATATCAGTGTTTCTGAGAAACTTGCTCTCTCCATCTTCAACCCTGAAGGTGGGGAGAGTATTTTTTTTTTAAATTTGGCAGCTCGGTCACTATTGATTGACAGCAAAATTGGTGGTTCTTTCTCTAAAAAGAATTTATGTACTTTTGCTTTCACTGCTCTTGTGTTGTGTTCAAGAAGATAATCGAACAATTCAGGATAGATGGGTGATTGATCATTGCTTAGGAGCATCAGCATCACTGCTTTGTAAGCTTATCAGGCTCCTTTTGGTTCTCGTCATGCAATAGTGTGAGCGAAGAACGTCTTATGGATCCATCCGTGTGTCTTGTGTGCTTCGTTTTCGAACAACAGTGAGCCCGGAGTTTTTAATGTTGTTAATTGTTTTCTTTTATACTTCCTGTTATTATGAATCCTATGGTCATTCTTATTCTTATTCCCATTCTTATTATTTTTAATAATATTCCTGTTATTGAAACAATAAGAATAACAGTTGTTTGTTTAGCTTTTTAAGGCTTACATGAAGGTGTCATGGAATCCTGAGTCCATGCCAAGAGAAACGCTTGCAGAAGACAAGGAAAAGTCATTAACATTGATTTATGTTTTTGTTAATATTAGGCAGACATATTGGTGTCTTTGTTTAACAGATGTCTGGCATAAATCATTGTTAACAGAAGGTGTAGAAAAGCCACATATGGACAGATACAAGGAGATTTCATTGACACAAAATATGATGCCAGCTTCAGTATGGGACTTACAAAATTTCAAGCTCTGATTTTTGTTGCGCAGTGTGTTCATGTCTGTGCAAGAAGTCAGAAAATACTTGATGGATTGGGCAACTTCACTATCATATCCTGTTCCTGATCTTGCAAGTAAAAATCCTATACTTGTGTGTGTTTTTGACAGTAGTGTCTGTCTGATGTTTTGTTGATACAGACGAGCATTAATTCTATGTTTTCTGCTTCTCCAGGGTGCCAATATCTTATTAACTGAATCAGGTGATGTGAAACTGGCTGATTTTGGTGTTTCTGCACAAATTACAGCAACAATAAACAAGAGGAAGTCATTCATTGGAACACCGTATTGGATGGCACCAGAGGTGAGTATTGTCTTAGTGTTATGGAACGTTTTATTGCTGTTTGTCAAACTCTTCTGTGTTCTTCTGTGAGGGAGCAGTGGATACAGATGTTAGAGTCTGGTCACTAGCAGATTTATTTGCTGGTGCTATGTAGATTTTTAATGTCACTATTTATACCAGTGACCCCAAATGACAACTCAACTTCCTCCTGTCCTCATGGGAGACAGCAAAGGAGGCTCTCATGTTTTCCTTTCCTTTCGTGTTTAATATTGTATTTCTGCATTATCTCTTTGTTCGTCTGATCTGTCCTGCTCTGCATGCTGAGCACCCACTGTGCTGTACAGTATTCTGCATGGGAGAGCGTCCCTTCTGGGTTTATTGTCAGTGTGTATTTTTAAGACCCAATAAGTTTATAAACTCCTGCCTCACCAGCAGGGATCTGTCGTTTCTCTTTCCCACCATCTTACGCACAAACGCACGTCTCCATGGAGAACCCAGAAGTGAAGTTTAATTGGACACTTTTTGCTGCCCCTGCTGCAAGATTCATGTATCAGAAACCAGATCTTAATTCATGTACACTCCCATAGACTCGTGGAGTTCGGCCCTCCACCACCAACCGTGTGGTTTGAGATGGAGTTTTGTACTTTCAGGTCGCAGCTGTTGAGAGAAAGGGAGGCTACAATCAGTTATGTGACATCTGGGCCATTGGCGTAACTTCGATTGAGCTTGCCGAGCTGCAGCCTCCAATGTTTGACCTTCACCCTATGAGGGCATTGTTTCTCATGTCAAAAAGTGGCTTCAAGCCTCCTACATTAAAGGATAGAGACAAATGGTAAGTTCTGAAGTTCAAATACTCATTTTTTGCCAGAATTAAAAGCATCTCTGTTTTTATTCTAATTTATTGTGTGAAAACCTTGGCTCTTGCATTATAGAATAAAACATTGCATTGTTCAGTCCTGCATGGCAGTGAATATTTCATCGGGAGAATACCACACGTGTTTGAATCATAACTTTTTTGTGGAGTTTTTTTTATCCAAAATCACATGAGCGAGAATCATACAGTGGTTTGGAGTTAGGCTATTTATATTGGAAATTAAATTCATAGGAAGGAAAGATCAAAATAAAGAGGATGTGAAATGAAGCAAATACAAATTATGGTTTTGAGCATATGTGGCCACTTCGGAAGACCATACATAAGACAGGAGGATTGTATTATAAAGGACTTACAGAAGGAGGGTGTGATGATGAGCACTTGATTCTTCTGCCTCATTATAGGGACTGTGGCAGGCTCTTGTAAACATGGTTATGAACATTTGGATTCCATGAAGGAAGGGAATTTCTTTACTAGTTAGTTGACCATTAGCTTCTCAAGAAGTTTTTGGTTGGTTGTTTAGTTGTTTGCTATAGATAATCATAACTAACTAACCAACCAGATGGCTTACGGAACCCGAAGGTTCATCACCGAATTAACCAAAGCCCTCCACCAGACCCTGTCCTGGGCCAACAAAATCCAGTCTCCTTCGACTCCTATCTCCCATAGATCCCGCCTGAGATTATCCTCCCATCTACGTCTAGGTCTCCCCAGAGGTCTCTTCCCCTCAGGCTTCCCAAACAGTGGACCCAACCACCCAGATGGCGTACGGAACTCGAAGGTTCATCACCGAATTAACCAAAGCCCTCCACCGGACCCTGTCCTGGGCCAACAAAATCCAGTCTCCTTCAACTCCTATCTCCCATAGATCCCGCCTGAGATTATCCTCCCATCTACGTCTAGGTCTCCCCAGCGGTCTCTTCCCCTCAGGCTTCCCAAATAGTGGACCCAACCAACCAGATGACTTACGGAACTCGAAGGTTCATCACCGAATTAACCAAAGCCCTCCACCGGACCCTGTCATGAGCCAACAAAATCCAGTCTCCTTCAACTCCTATCTCCCATAGATCCCGCCTGAGATTATCCTCCCATCTACGTCAAGGTCTCCCCAGCGGTCTATTCCCCTCAGGCTTCCCAAATAGTGGACCCAACCAAACAGATGGCTTACAGAACCCGAAGGTTCATCACC